GTAGCGGTAGCGGTAGCGGTAGTAGTAGGACCAGGAGCAGCACAAGCAGGCGGAGGAGGAGGAGTAGTAGTAGTAGTAGTAGTAGTAGCACTAGCACCATCTCAAAAATAGCAATGACCAGACGTGGGGTGAATACAGCAGCAGCAGTCGTAATATGATTATGTTTGCTCTCATGCATACATAGTGTTTGGCAGCCTACGGTTTGCGAAGACGACCAGCAAGATGACAAGACGACGGTGACTGCTCTTGCTTCTGCACCTGTTTCAACCGCATGTAACGGCTCATGTATTGCATGATGTGCTTCGCAGCTACAGCTTGAGCTTTGAGATGAACAGTTGCAAACTTGGCTTGGGCTCCCAAAGCTTACCGCATCAGGATTTCCGGCTTAGGAATCTTAGGGTATACTCGCATGGTTTAAGGTTTGACGAACCACGAGACCGCTATCATCATGTCTTGACTCCGTTTCATGAGGCATCAAACGAATTATGTTTGCGAGACTGTAGCCACAGATGCACCAATACGGATGCAAGCTACCTTGATTGACTGTCCACAGGGTGCACTGTGGGAATACGACTCGGCCGCTAAGGCTTGAGGCCATGTATGCCCCATGCTTGTCATATGCGACACGTGCGCCTGCTGGTTTCATGCCACTCGCCCGCGGACGCTCACGCAGCCAGCCCGAACGAAGGACTGACTGGATGAAACTTTAAGGGAGCTCATAGAGTTGTGATCCAGCAATTGCGATATCCGGCAGACTTTCCAGTTTTCAATACGTTGGTTTGTGTAGCTGTTGTAGGGGCAGCCTAGCCTAATAATCAGGTCTTGAAATGTACACTTTGGTGCCTGTCTTTGAGCTTGGAGCTTGGCAGACAGAGTCGAACAGATGTATCTGCTTCGATGATGAGTCTTTCGCTGCCTGGTAGATCTTTAGATTATGGGACTAGGGTGTTTTGCTTGACCGCATCCTGGATAGACCCGAAGCAACACCCTGAACCCATTTGCAGGGACGTTCACGGTACATGTTGTTGGTATTTACGAGATTCCCAGGCTTTATACAGGCCAGGTGGCACATTCGACTTGGTGGATAGGTTCCATGGAATGTGCAGTTGGCCATGGGCTGTCTCAGACCGAAGAACCTGCGGCATGGGATGCATGGATTCGGGAGCAGCATGACACAGGGACGGCCCTGAAAGTGCGGCCAAGACGGCCGCACACCCGAAATCGTCCAGGCGTGATTCAGCCTGCCAGGAGTTGGCATGCCAGCATCGTTGCATTGCCCTTCATCTCTAGGCCGGCGTAGCATCTGTCGCACTAACACGATGCAACAGTGCCACGGAGCCTGTAAGTATTGATGTGGGGACAAAACATGCCCCTTTGTGAAGACTACCGTTGTTTTCCTGTAAGGATAGCTCTTCACGCATCGAATTTGCAATCCGTTGTTTCACCGCTCTTCCGATCCCCAAGCCAAACCAGCCCGGGTACTAGTACTTCAGATGCACCGTGACGTGTCTCGATAACGGTAGCCCTTAGCCATCGAGACTCATGGTTCCACACTGTTCCTTTTGACGGAAGCTGTGGCCTTGCAGGGTCATCCTTCGTGCGAGAAGCCACAGGAGAGAGGCGCCGGCTTTTTCTTGTGGTGTTGACTTCAGGCCGAGAGGATCATGTTGCGGACAGGCTCTGCCGAGTAGTGGTTTCTGAAGGTTCGAGAACAGCTCGTGTGAATGTGTTGTGTAGTCTGCGTTAAGTGGGAGCCAGCTTTGAGCACGCTCCGAAGTCGGATGCACAATGTAGACCTTGGACAACGGGATCTTTGCCAAAATGGCTGTTGTTAACAAAGCCGCGGAGAGGTGGCCGTGATCACAATTTGGCCCTGGCTCACGAACTCTGCCAAGGCCCGTTTGCTTCTCCTGCAGTGCAGGGGGATCAGTTCCCGTGGTTTGTTGCAGATTCAAGGCACTACGGAAGGTACAACAAACATATCAGGACTGCACGTTTGCGTTGTGTGCCGACTTGCTTGAGAAGGACAAGATCAAGGTGACAACAGCATCTACTTGATGATTGCAACAAAGACCGCAATAATGGTTTTCCGACTGTTGATAGTATCTCCATCGTCATGGTCATCACCAGCCATCATCAGTCTAAAACACCACACCCCCACCACAACCAGCACCACCACCACGAACACCATCACCGCCAACGCCACCCTGATTATCATCACCAGCAGCAGCAGTATCATCATCATTACCGTGACCATCAGTTCCTCCTTGCTCAACCAGGAAACGCAATGTAGCTTTGGCAAGCCCTGTCCGTGTCCAAAAGCTTGAACCTTGTTGTTGGCCTGAGCCCAATGAGTCCTCATCGTACACTGAAGCCACTGCAAGCTTGCCTCAATGTGCAGGCAGAAGGCGTAGACTCGCTGACCGCGTCCTGGGTGCAAGTTCAGACAAAGCTGACAATCTGCGAAAACGACACTTCAAGACCTGAAGCTCCCAAAAGAAGCGGGCAAGCAGCAATAGGTGCTGACCCGTGCAAGCTGATCTTGTTGGCCTGGTAGATTTTTGGATGTCATTGTAGGAAAACCTGTATGATTCAGACTGCATTGCGGCAGTGTGCAGTTCGACAACGACGAATAGCTGTTTTCTGTGCCTTCACGGTGCTGCTGACGTAGCTGCTGGATTGGGCTGCTAGACGCCGCTGCCTACTATGCCGTGCTTGTTGATGCGATAGCGTGCAAAGACGTCAATGCCTTGGACTTTGCGAGTGGTTAAACTGCGGGCTTTGCGACACTAATTACTTGGAACATACGTCTGTCCTGCTGGGCAGCACGTCTCTCCAGACGTTGCACAATTGGAAGAGATGGTCTCATCCCAGCGGCTTTGTAACATGGACTGCTCAGAGTTTCAAGCAAAGGGGTCCCTTCGCAGTTCGATCTTATGTGGCATCACCCTTCTCGGAGTCATGTATCTTCAGTTTTTCCTTCCTTGCCGACTCGCATGTTTGTTGCGTCTCAGCACCAGGACCTATCAAGGGGCATCCTCGGCGGCGACAGGGACGTTTTCTATCCCCGTTGGTTCTTGGGTGAGTGGGAGGCGTGCATTGGTCGGGTAGGAGTCGTGCCGCCAGTGCCTTTGAGATGCTGCATCGAGCAAAGTTGGTTCATGATCTCTGCAGCCACTTCGTACTGAGTGTCACCTTCTCTGAGCCCAGCTTCCAAGCCTTGGAAGGCAACAACAGAACTGGCTTCTGTGGAGTTCCCCAGGGGCGAGGCGGCCGCAGGACGTGAGGCGACTCTGCGGTCTCAGAAGGAGACAGCATCCCCAGCCCTATCCGAAGGGGGAGTAGGTCTCTCTTCAGAATGGAAGGGATGCATTGGCTGGAGGCCTGTATGGTTCAAGGTTTGTCATGGTGGATCTTATTCAAACCGCTGCTATGTGTCGTGTTTGTTTCAATTGTTGGGCTCATGATGGCTCATGCTCATGACGGCAGGGTATTGTCCGGTCTTTGGACGGCTTCAGTACTCCAAGCTCAGGTGTCGGGGTCTATATACGCTAGCCTCGTGAACCCTGACACAAAGCATAACATTTCGCCAGGCTTGATGCGTCGCCCACAGGTAAAGAGTACCCCGATGTTATCTTTACAAGCTGCATCAAGCTTGCCATTGCTTCGTTCTCGCACTCCATAAACTTGCAGTGTCTGCGAAGCTGAACGATTGCATCTTACGGCCTGAAAGCATCAAAGTGTCGCAACTGTCCCCAATGCTGCTACCATCGCGGCACTTGCTGCCGTTTCGCTCATGACTCATACCAACATGTAGATGAATGTTTGAGCCTTCCGGCTTAACTCACTCTTACCTGACATCAAGACCAAACCTCCAACGGTCTAATTATGACGTCTGCGGAACAACGGCACCGTTTGGGAGCCGAGATGCCTGTGGTTCGTTACCGTCCTCTAGTCTCATGGACGGCAAGAATAGCCTGAGCCAACGAAAGGCCCTGCGGCAACGAGAGCTTCTGGGTACAAGAAAGGCTGGGAATGGAAAATTGCAGTTACCTTTTCGGGGTAACAACATCTGGAACGAGCTCGTGTGGCACGAGCCGCGGTCGGAGGAGCAATAGCAGCAGCGCCAGCAGTAGCAGTAGTAGTGGTTGTAGTCGTCGTCGTCGTAGTAGGAGTCATAGTCGTAGTCGTAGTGGTCGTCGTAGTCGCAGTCGTAGTAGAAGTAGTAGTAGTAGTAGTAGTAGTAGTAGTAGTAGTGGTGGTAGTAGTAGTAGTAGTAGTTATTGTAGTAGTAGTAGTAGTATTGTAGTAGTAGTATTGTAGTATTGTAGTAGTAGTAGTAGTAGTAGTAGTAGTAGTAGTAGCAGTAGCAGCAGTAGTAGTACTAGTAGTAGTAGTAGTAGTAGTAGTAGTAGTAGTAG